TCTATGTAAACTTCCATTGTTTTGCCGAGTTGGTCCTTGAACATCTTGGTGACCAGCCTTTGATAAGTTTCCCCTGCGTTCTTCAACCCGAATGGCATGACTCAGTAGTAGTACGTCCCCTGATGGGTGATGAAAGTGGTCTTTTCCTGGTCCTCCTCCTCCATGAGGATTTGGTTGTAACCTGAGTAGGCATCCAAGAAACTTAACAACTTGTGCCCTGCCGTTGCGTCGATGAGTTGCTCGATGTGAGGCAACAGAAAGGAGTCTTTCGGGCAGACCTTGTTTAGGTCCGTGAAATCTACGCACATCCGCCACTTTCCGTTTTTCTTTTTCATCATTACCACGTTGGCGACTCTTTGGGGGTATTTCGACTCTCGGATGGAGCCGTTAGTGAGTAGTTTTTCCATCTCATCACGGACGGCCTCGTTGATTGCGGCGTTGAATTTTCTTCTTATTTGTCATACCGGCGGGTAGAGTGGATCGACGTACAACTTGTGCGTGGCAATGTCTTTCGGGATGCTTGGCATATGTGCATGGGAGAAAGCAAATAGATCGGCGTTGTCAATTAAAAATTTATGAAATTTACCTGGTTCTGAGAGTTTATGGCCGATGTAAGCCTTTTTGTTGTGGTCGCTGTTGTCAAGTTGGACGGGGTCGAGGTCTTCTACCGTTGACCCCGTGGCTTCCACGACGTCAGGATCCTTGATGATGTCTTTTTGTTCGTTGAGTTCGAGCCCCGACTTTGGTAATTTCTAAGCTCCCGAGCCTATTCCCTTTAACTGTTGAGTGTATGTACAATCTTGGGCGATGCGGTAGCATTCTTTGGCTGTGCGTTGTTCGCCTCGGATGCTGAATATCCCCCACGGAGTAGGAAACTTGATTACTTGATATAAGATGGACGGGATGGCCCTCATGGCGTGTATTCAGGGTCGCCCTATGATGGCGTTGTAAGTTGTGTCCAGGTTCATGACATGAAACGTTGTTTCTAAGGTGATGCCCCCGGCCAGAACGGGCAGCGTTATCTTTCCCGAGGTTCGCTCAACTGCATTGTTAAAACTTGTTACCGTTATGCAGCGTGGTACTATCTTGTCCTTGAGTCTCATTTGTGCGAGAACTCGAGGGTGAATAATACACGCGCCGCTCCCGTCGTCTACCATTATTCTTTTTATATCAGTATCTGAAATACGTAAAGTAATGACAAGAGCATCGAAGTGAGAAAAGGTCAAACCATGGGTATCTGACTTATGAAGATGATACAGTCTTCGAGGTCATCATACCGTTCATGGGGGATCGATCGCTTCAGTTTATGTGTGGTGGTGAACTTCACATGATTGATTGCTGCTTCGTCGCCTCCGCCGATGATCATTTGGATGGTGCGGGCGGGGGAGGGTGGCTTTGGAGGGCCTTGGTGTTGTTCTCGTCTGCGGCCGAAGTTGGCTCTTCCTCGGTCGCTCATCAGCTCCCTTAGGTGTCCTTGGTGAAGCATGTTCACCACTTCTTGCGGCAGGGCTATGCAGTCTTCGGTCTTGTGACCCCGCTCCTGATGAAACTCACAGAGGGCGTTTGACTTTCTGGTACTTGGGTTGGTCTTCATCTTTTGTGGCCACTTCACCTTCGGGCCAAGCTTCTCTTGTGCGTACACTATTTCTGAAGGGGAAACACAAAAATTGTGAGCAAATAAGAGTGGAGGAATACCTCTTTCGTTTCGCTGAGTCCCTGTATGTGGCCTGGACGACCCTTCTGTATGGCGAGGAGATGGTGGGATGGTCGTTCCGACATATGGTTGTGCCTGTCCCAGTTGAGGCGTGGACTTGAATGGTCTCTTCGGCTGTCATTACGACGGTCTTTCCTCGACTCCGTATTGACTGAAGTTAGCCGTTGGGTTCGACCGTTGAGGTTATCCTCGCCTACTCTCACCTCGGCACAATAGGCGTTGTGAATTTCTTCCCAAGTGGTAGGAGGGTATTTCATGAGTCTGCTTAACAACTTTCTGGTCGCCCTCGACCCATTCCTGTTCAACCCATTTCGGAAAGCTGCCACCGCCATCCCTTCTAATATGTTTGTCAAGCTCATTCTTACTCTGTTGAACCGGACGAGGAAGTCCCTGAGTCCCTCGCCAGGCGATTGTCTGACGGCAAATATATCATTCACCCTAGCCTCCGCCTTCTTAGCACCGGCGTGGGCGGTGACGAACTTGTCAGCCATTTCCTCGAACGTTGTTATTGAACGTGCTGGTAATTGTGAGTACCATGTTAAGGATCCCCCTATTAGGGTTTCGTCGAACTTCTTCAGCAACACTGATGGTACCTGCTCTTTTGAGAGGTCGTTGCCTTTTACTGTTGTGCCGTAATGAATGATCTGATCTTCGGGGTCTGTTGTGCCGTCGTATATCTTCAAATGTGGTGGCATTTTGAAGGTCTTGGGTATGGCGTGTGGGGCTTCCTCCTTGCTATACGGTTGTTCGATGAACCGGCCGATGTCTCGTTTTGGTAGCAGTTTCGGGGCGCCCGGTATCTTATCACCCTTTCTTGATGCTCCCTCATTTGATCACGGAGCGCTTTATTCTCGTTCTCCATTTCTTTCATTTTCTTTAGAATGGCCGCAAGTGCGTCATTACCTGCATCAACAACGCTGTGAGTGTTACCAGTTGGGAGAGGAGCGGGAGTAGGTTGCTCGTTGGCGGTTGTTGTGGTATCCGCTCGTGCGGCGCTTCTACTCACCCCTTGAACGGGTTTGTCGAGTATGTTGTTTAGAGTACTTGTCAACCACGCCTCCAGTAGTTTTTTTACTGCTGGTGGCGCTTCCTTAGTTGTGGATGTGGAGGCTCCCCTTTCGCGTAAAGCGGTTACACTTCCATAAGGGGAAGGTGAGTCACTCCGCCTGGGTGTAGCACTCGGCGTCACATTCTCCTCGTCTTCTCTAACAACCTCGTCGATAGTGTTCAAGAGGTTGGCAGTGACGTCTGATAACTAGGGATTTTGACGCGTTTCATGCTCCTTCTTGCTTATGCTTTGATTATAAATTGTTACAAAATTGTCCCAAGAGGCTCATAAGTTGTGCTTGATTGCAGGTTTGATCGACAAAGTGACGAAATGTCAAAGATCGGCTTAAAAGGAGTAAAACCTGCTCAAGTACCTAAAACAAGGCAAAACTCAGGAGAACAGGCCTAGTGCGGCCGCACTAGAGAGATTCAGAGAGTCAGAAATCAAGGCTTCAAGCAACGCGGCCGCACTCCATTATGTGCGGTCCACGGTGAAGGCTCCGCGGCCGCACTACCATTATGTGCGGTCCGCGGAAGAGAAGTTCAGAGAGGTGAAAATTGCCATGGTTCAAGCTGCGCGGTCCGCGGTCATATCTATGCGGACCGCATTAGAAACCTCCGCGGCCGCGGTCCATTCTGCGCGGTCCGCGGAGCCTGAGTTCAGAGAGCCAAGATTTTAAGTCCAAGAGCCTAGTGCGGCCGCAGTCCATTTTGTGCGGCCCGCACTGACCCCGCAGGGGCATTTTTGTCGAGTTTTTCCAGCTTAGTATAAATGGAACATTTTTCCACTTTTAGGGTATCCGGCTATAATCAGTTATTTTATTTTAGCAGTTGCGCTCATGAGAACATCATCTGTAGCCATTTCTGGCATCTTAGCTTAGTTTTAACGATAGATTCTTGTATTTAACTTTAGTGTTTAATTAATATGTCTTATTCTTCATCTACTTCTTTATTTTCTTGTTCAAGCATGAGTAGCTAAACCCATTGGCTAGGGTTGTGGCTCAACCCTAGTGTGGGTAATTGATGGGTATTGTGATTTAAGGCCAGATTGATTATGGGTGTTTGTTATTTGGGTCAATTTTATGGTTTAATTTATAAATTAGTGATTGCAAACACTGGTTTGTGCTAAGTGGACTTGGCTCTTCTTGAGAGAGAGAGAGCCTAAGTCTCCAAAATTGACCCAAAAAGGAATTGGGATGGACTCAAGAGAATTGATAGTCCCAATTAAAGGGTTAAATCTCAAGAGAGTAATTACCCGACTTGAACCCTAGTTGCTTGAGCTAATTTGCCTACCCATTTGGTCTCTCGAGAGTCAATTGGGCAAAATCACTCTCTCGACCGAGAGGTGTGAGAGTGGGTAAAATTGTGCAACGATTATACATATTTCCCCAATCATGTCAATCAAGCTTTAGATGCAATTACCTGTCAATTAGCCACCTAGGTGAAGGTCACTACCCTAGTGCCTGTTAAACTATTAGATACAACTTGTAGCAATTTATCTCTTAGCTTAATCTAGTTGCATTTTCAATTAGTAGTTGATAAAAAGTAGAACTATAAAGAAAACCCAAAAATGAATAGAAGACCAATTAAAAGCACACACGCAATCCTAAGCTAAATAGATACTCAACTCCAATCCCAGCTCTCTGTGGATTCGATCCCGACCCAAAATCGGGTAAAAGCTATTGCGACCCTCTCTTGCTACCTTTTATTGGTGCGGAGTAGGTAGCGATCAACGTCCACTACTGCTTTCAGTCTTTCGTCTCCTTTTTCTGCTATTGTTAGTTCGTGCAAACGAGAAAAAGTTGGTTGTTGTCGTTTTTTTTTTGGTCTAGAAGAAACTAAAATTTTAACTAGAAACTCCCCACAGACGGCGCCAAATTGTTTTACCAAAAAAGTATTAAACCTTTTTCTAAAACGAATTAATAAGAAAACAGGGGATGAATCCTAGTTAAATATAATTACTACTAGATCTGAAGACTAATGCATTAATGATGTAGGATCATGTCCGATAATATTGAATGCCGATTAAGAGTGCTCAATGATTGTCAATGAATGCAATAAAGAAAGCCTGCAATGAATATAGATAATGACAATAAATGTAATAAGAAGGAACTTGTCACCCAAATGTTAGATGATTTATATATTGACAACGACGTGGGGACAAAAGGAAATGAAGGTGGACAAGAGATCCTTGGATCTTGTGAGTAAAAGATATATATTGAATAATGGAACCAATGGACAAGACAAGCTTTGTATATTCTCTGTAGTCAACCTTTACAATGTGTTCTTATCCCAAAAGTGAAGATTTCCCTTTTTGTTCTTTATCTCTTCCTATTTATAGGGGATATTCCTAAGAAACTCTAAAGTACAACTGAAAGAATATCCAAAGGAATATTCCTTCTTTCTATTCTAAACTTGTTCTACCGTTGCTTCCGTACATTCTTTACTTGACCTCGGCACTAATCCTCCTTAAGACGACTCCTCGCCATTGGCCCGTGGTCGGCTTAATCCTCGACCACGTCCATTTGCAGTTATTAAGTCCAGTCCAAATTTTAACCGATACAACTGTAAAAAAATTCGTATTGTTAGGTCAACTAAGAGATAATTACATGTAAATGTCCGGCGATAACTTGAAAATAATACTCTAAGTTAACTGATAACATGCTAATACTTATGTACAATTATTTGGCATAAATTAAACACGCTTAAAATTATGGATTTTGGTTGTGATAATAGCAGGTATTTCATAGCTAGATTTGTGCAGGCAGGACAAAACAAATAGGAAGTTACGCGGATGCTTCAAAAGAATTCTTTATGCGATGGGGATCGGAGACGTAAGATTTTATAACTATATGAGAGTCTCCTCCTCAAATCCTTCACAAATTGCTATTTACATCATTTGTGCCAACTCTTTTATTTTTTTCGTTCGGTATTCCGTATCTTTATTGGGGTCAGGGGCGGACCTAGAGCATTCAATACGGGTTTTCGGGAACTCAATAACTCTTGCGTAGACCCTGTATTTATATTAAGTAATTCATAAAATATTTGTAATATTTAACTGTGAACCCAGTTATTATTGTATATTAATTTAAAATTATGGTAGGAACCCATAAGCCTCAAATCCTGGATCCGCCTCTGAATTTGGGGTAAGATAAATTTGGTTTCAAGCTGAAAAATCTCATATCAGAGATTAAACGTTTTCGAACAAAAGCAACTTCATATTTAGGGGTTTGAAATAGAAACTTCTAATTAAAGATAAAGTAGTTACCAATTCACTACGGCCCTTGTAGGTCATTTGTTCCAACTTCTTGTGCACTCCAACAGTTCCTTACGACAAAACAATGCGACCCCAACCCTACATACCAGTCCTTGTAAAAGAAATAACGAAACGACACAAGAGAAAAGGCTTGGCATCGTGCTCTGCCATTGCCATGGAACAGACCACACGGTTTTGGCTCTGTGCCTTTGGTCCTTTTCTGTTTCTTTAGAATTACATTGGGAGACAGAAAATAGGATAATAAATTCAACTTACATTATTGTACGGAAAACTCCAACCTAATTTGTTTGGAGAAAATTAAAGAACCCTATTGTATGGGTCAAAATCTGATCATAGTGGTTGCCCCCAATAGGAATGATAGGGGGTCGACCAAGTTGGGATCCCGCTCAGGTGGCGAAATAGCAAAGAACACCTCGGCCATCCTCGGGGTCAAATCATCGAAAGCATGTTGGTCAAAAACTATTGAATAGAAGTCCTAGGAACTATATATATATATATGGCAGGTAAGCTTAGAGAAAGGGCTTTTTCGAGAGGGAAAGGGACAACAAACAAGGAAGGAAAAGAGAAGAAGAAGAAGAGGAGAAAAGAAGAATCTCTCTCGGATGAACAGTTGTCTCACTTTTTCCCCTTTACCCTTCATTTATAATTCTTTTTCGCCTCATGTAAGCTCATCTCTTGTGTTTGATGCATAATTATCACATCAATAAATCTAATATGTTCCTACCTTTCGTTATTTCTCGTTATATGAGTTTGAATCTGAAGTTGCTTATGCTTGGCTAAGATTTACCTTCTTTATTATTGATAATTACAGTTGGCAAAAAAGTCTTAAACTTTTTTGTTCAAACACCTATAATATGCAATTAGTAGAACGTCCTTTAACCTTTTGCAATATGATTAATTAAGTATTTTATCAGTAAGTACCCGTCAGCATGAGTTTGAGTTTTAAATTGAAGTACTTTTTTTTCACATAATATATTTAACGCATAGTAGTATACTACAGTAATATAATAGTATACCGTTTGTTAGTATCACGTAATCTCATCCTCATTCATCCACATGTTTCATCCTAGCTCTCCTCTCTAGCCTCTGCCTCTAACGTCCTTTTCTTGTTTTCTTTTATTTTTCAGTGGTAGAGCATATGTGTAATTACCTTCCATTACACCTGTCGGGTTTTTAAGTGACATACTTTTTAATTTTTTTTGTTGTTAAAACTATAGAAAATATTTATGGCAGAATAGCCTAGGAGACACTTGTACTTGTTCTGGTTTGTCATCCCGGTCCCTACACTCCATAAAGTTTCATCCAGACACTTCAACTTAATCAAAACAAGACTTTTAAACACCTCCGGAATCATGTGATGCTCACTTGCTTGACGTTGATGACAAATCAGCATCCACATTAGATTCTATACCAAAATAATATTATTTAACAAAATTTTAATTTCATAAACAAAAATTAAAATAAAAAAAGCAAAAAACTAAATTTAAAATTAAAGAAAACCCATCCTCCCTTCTTCAAACCCACCCACTCAACCTTCTTAAAACAATAACCCACCTGCCATGGCTCCTCCACCATGAGTACCACTACTTCCTTCACTCTTCGTTTAAAGAAAGTTATCTAGCCATGAAAAATACAAGAGCAGAGAATTAAGTCTTTTGAATTTTGACTTATTCCTATACCCCAATTTGGAAGGGCTGTGAAAAAATTTAAAAGCTAAAACTACCGGAAAAAATGGATGAATCATAGAGAAGGGGAAGATGACATGATGGAAGAAGAAATACATACCAAGGAGAAAATCTAATGAAAAGAAAGGGGAATTGAAAGAAAAGATGAAGAAAAAAGGGGAAGGTAAAAAACGAAGACGAGGAGAAGGGGGGGGGGGGGGACGAAGGGCTGAAAGAAGGTGGGGGGGGGGGGAGGCAGAACGGAGGGCTGAAGAAGAAGGAGGGGGGGAGGGGGGAGCAAAACGAAGGGCTGAAGAAGGAGGGGGGTAGAACGGAGGGCTGAAGAGAGGGGGGGGGGGGAGGGGGCGGAACGAAGGGCTGAAGAAGAAGAGAAAGGGGGGCAGAACAAGGGGGCAGAACGAAAGGGAATCGCTGGTAGTATTTTATTTATTTTTATTTAGTTTTAGTTTTTTTAATAAAGAAAAATCATCAGCTCACGCACCTAATGTGCGTGTAAATCACTCATTTTGTCCACCTTAGCCATATCAATGCCACATAAGCTCGGTCAATGGTCAGAAGGGTTTAAAAGTCTTGTTTTGATTAAGTTGAAGTGTCTGGGTGAAACTTTATGGAGTGTAGGGACCGGGATGACAAACCGAAATAAGTACAAGTGTCTCCAGGGCTATTCTGCCAATATTTATTATAGAACTTTTGTATAGTTTCTAAACATACACATTTTGCATTAAAATACTACGTTTGGTGTTACAATTTACCTAGAAAATAGATGGACCTAAATACTGTTTAAACATTTTTCTCAACATAGATCTTCGAATATAGTTTGTGTGAAAGAAATACCAACAAAATAAAAATCAATCTCCACTAGATTATTCCAGATTTATTCCTATAACTAATTTTGGGCCGTCAATCAAGCAGACCTAGGGCTAAGGCACATCTCGAATTCATTCAGCCTCTAGATACTTGGACTCGAGATATGTCATATGAGAGTGTTCTAGTCTTGGGCAATTGCAAGATGGGCCAATATTAGAGTAGTTAAGGGGCAAGTGCACTTTGGAGGACCACTCTGTAAAGAATAGGGAAACTTACAGCAATGTCCCAAATAAGTCTCAACTTACAAAGCTCTAGCCATTAGTTATAGACTTAAAAAAACTAGCCAAGCATATATAAAAATTGAAAAACCAAATAAATAAGGTTCTTTCTCTCAAAGAATCACACGCAAAAATCTCCTTCCATATTTTTAAGCGTGATTAGCAACATTAAATGCAAGACAGAAAGGAAACTTCATGGATGAGGTGACAAATAAGGTGTAAAATACAAAAAATATATATATACTATATTCCAAAAATCTAAGCAAAAAAGGACCTTTTTCAATGGGTATAGTTGAAATTCATTGAAAACATATAGATAAGTCAATATACAAAATTTGAGGAAGATTGGAGGTGATTTAGACTGGTTTGTTATCAAAATTTGAATTAAATCGAGTTCGAAAAATTCTTCTGCGACACATGTATCACACATGTATTTCATATACAGGTCTACATGGATATACATGTGATACACAATTGATACAAATATGATACGTATGTGATATACAAATGATGCACATATCATTTTTTTACTTCAAATTTTTAATTCAGACCATCTCAAAACTCCACCAAATCATCCCAAAACTGAGATTCAAGCTCCTTAAGATGTACCCAATTTATTCTAATCACACCCTCAAAAAAAGCAAAGATTTGACTTTTACAAATAGCTAATTGGCTAATATTAGTTAAATTTGGCTATTATTATTAGTATTTTATTAATTGACCAATTTTTGTAATGAGCTACTTATAAATGGACAGAGCTGATAGTTTTCCTAAAGAATAACCAAAATTTATATGTTCTATTTAAATTTACAACAACAACAATCCAGTAAAATCTCACAAGTGGGGTTTGGGGAGGGTAGTGTATACGCAGAACTTACCCCTGGTGCAGAGGAGTAGATTCGATAGACTCTCGGCTCTTTCTATTTAAGTTTAGACGCTTCAAAATTAACCTTAGGCTCGCAAAATTGAAGTTGAAAATTTCAGGTCCGAAGTTTCAAACTTTAGACTTACGGATTTGACGTTGAGCTTGCCAAAACCAAATTAGGCCCTATGTCTGACTTATAGCCTGTTTGGCCAAGCTTCTAAAATCAGCTTATTTTGAGAAGTGTTTTTATTAAAAGTATTTTTAAAAAAAAAATTTTGGTGAGAAGCAGTTTGTGTTTGGCTAAATAATTTGAAAAACACTTTGAGCAGTAATTAGTGTTTGGCCAAACTTTTGAAAACTGCTTCTAAGTGTATTTTTCTCAAAAGTGCTTCTCAGAAAAGTGCTTTTGGAGAGAAACTACTGTTTGACCAAAAAGTGTTAAGCTCTTTGTTAAACTAACTAATGAGAAAATAGAGGGTGAATCCTAGCCAAGGATAATTAACTCTAGATCAAAGCACGTTATATACGAAAACAGAAATATAATCAAGCTTATAACCTTTTTAAGATTATAAAACTTATCAAACGTAAATGATAGGCTTACATTCTTGAGGTACTGTTCCGTAATGTAAGAACAAAGAAGAAATAGAAAGAACGCTATTGATAGCTACGAGATCCATCTTTATTGATTTAACAATGATGATTACAAAGATCTGTAACCAAGATCTAGACCTTCGCTTTTTTTTCCTCCGAGATCTTCTCCGGTTCTTTTGTCTCTTTTTCTTGAAGGAGGGAGCCCCCTTTTTCTGTCCTCTTACCTCCTATATATATTATCAGTATTCCCTTTTGTCCAACGGTCCTTAGCCAGAGTACCCCAATTCCTCGATTGTACTTTACGTCGCTCCCTTAAGTATCACGACACATACATTGTCCTACAAGCTTTTTGATGGTTCGATCTCAGCGGCGATACTCGTCGTTATTACGCCTTGTGGATACGACCACAGCTTAGTCGACTCCTTGCCATTACTTTTAGCGCTAATCTGCGTATGGTCAGATTTTGACCCATATAGCTACTTTTTTCTACTTCTCAAAAACTACTTCTGAGTACTTTTTTTCCTTCCAAAAGCTTGACCAAATAACTCAATTTTTGGCCAAAAGTGCTTTTCGCAAAAAAAAAAAAAAAAAAAAAAGAGAGCTTGGCCTAACGTGCTATTAAACTTTAGTCTCAGTGAAGTCCAACTTAAACATTCATGTCTGGAGTTCGTATCTTCAACTAACTTCATACCTGAATATCTGAAGTTAGGCTTAAAGTTGCATTGAGACATGAATGTTTGAAGTTTGAGAAGTCCATTTTTTAAGTTGGCATAACCATTGAAACTTGATTTTACTACCGCTTGCATGAACTTTATACATAAAAAGATTTAACAATTATAGAGAACATTCCTAACATGCTTAGAAGTATTTTACTGTATCTTTTTGATAAATAAGGGTTAATCTTATTAAAACTTTTAAACCAATCAGGAGGTGTGTAATCACTTCTCTAACGTGTTTTTCTTCTTGATTAATTAAACAAATTATTTAATGCATATCTAACTAGCTTAAACACAACAACCATTAAAAACAAGCATTTCCTATTGGAGTTTCAATACTTGGAGCAAATAATCTAATAAACTTAAATATGTTATGAAATACATATTTATATGGATGTCCACTAATCAAATATAACTCCCACTACTCTTCTCCATTATGAAGATAACTCCCACTACTTCTCACCATTATAAATGTAACTCGCACACCTCCATAACCTCCCCATGATCTTCCTCCATGATCTCAAATGTTTAATGTCATGTTTATGGCATTCTTTTGTATGCCTCTATGTAATCCTATAAATAGAGGGTTTTGGCATCACATTGTACACACTTGAATACATGGAAGAAATAGATTCTCTTCTCTCTTTCTCTCTACATTGTTGTCTATCTTTTTGTTCTATATTATTACTTTGAGCTAAGTTTTGTAACACGTTATCAGCATGAGTCTCTATCCAATTGAGTTACTACATCTACAAAATTATCTTACATAAGAAAAAG